AAGCAAAATCAGAAATGAACTTGGCAGCTTCTCCTCAGGGCGAAACATCAAAGGAATTCTGACAGAAGGCAAAAGACTTCAGATGGCTTAGCAACGTTTTTGTGGCTGGGTGTTGTTTTGTTTCTTTTGCCACAGCTAGCTGAGACTTGGGTTGGCCACTGGGCAGATCAAGATAATATTGCTGCAATCTGGACAAATCTGGACAACAGACAGCCTGGAAAAGACACAAATCTGATTGTCAGAACTGGCCCTAATTAGATATCTTTTCTCCACTTTCTCCTGTACCGATATAACAACTTCTGTCTGTCTGTCTGCGCTCTCTCTCTTTCTCTCTCTCTCTGTGTGTGTGTGTGTATGTGCAGTGAGGAAATGAGGGCTATGTTAATTAGAGTTTCAAAAGGAAGGAAATCTAAAAATCCTTATGACAGAATAGAAAGCCATCCACAAAGCTTGGAAGCAGGATATCAAGTTACAAGCATCACATCCTTGGAACAAATTGTCATTGATGGCAAGGCAGTGTTACCTAGCAACTACTGAGTGCGGCTTAACCTTATGTGGGTACATGCATTTGACTTAGCTGGCTCTGGGAAATGTAGCATTGGGCACAACTGTGTTTCCAGCATGTAGACTAACCTCTTAAAAAGCAGCTTTTCACTGTGGAGTAGGGAACAATGGTCATTCGCAAGGGGAAAGCATGAGCACTATGCCGAATGGGACTGCCACCCAATTAAAGAAGTCTTAGAGTGTAATCCTCTGCATGCTCACTCAGAATTAAAGCACCGATATGTTCCATGACGCGGGACGCGGGTGGCACTGTGGGTTAAACCACAGAGCCTAGGACTTGCCGATCAGAAGGTAGGCAGTTCGAATCCCCGCGACAAGGTGAGCTCTCATTGCTCGGTCCCTGCTCCTGCCAACCTAGCAGTTCGAAAGCATGTCAAAGTGCAAGTAGATAAATAGGTACCGCTCTGGCGGGAAGGTAAACGGCGTTTCCATGCGCTGCTCTGGTTCACCAGAAGGGGCTTAGGCATGCTGGCCTCATGACCCAGAAGCTGTACGCCGGCTCCCTTGGCCAATAAAGCAAGATGAGCGCCGCAACCCCAGAGTCGGCCATGACTGGACCTAATGGTCAGCGATCCCTTTACCTTTACCCTTTTAGGTGGAGTTAGGATTGCAGCCATGGCCTTGTGCATAGCACTGTCATAGAGTTTCATATCTTTCAAATGAGAGAGCACTGGAAACTCAATCGTCTTTGTAATATTTTCTTCACTGGCAATGTTCAAATATAGCATAGTGGAAGCAAGCAGATTCCTATAAGCAGACAACAAATCTGCTGTTCTCCCATCAGATTTCTAAAGAGAGTCCCTGTACTACAAAGTGGTTCAGTTTCACCAAATGGCAGCTTTTTCTCTCACACACTTCCCAATCTGAACTAACCCATTTGCTCCAGACGTTTTCTGATCATACTCCTTGAACTCTCATGAGATGTCCTGTTTTAAGAGAAATGGTATAAAAAACAGCTTACTGATTGTTATTAAAAAAAGCTTTAAACGTCATATTGTACCTAAACGGCGTTTCTGTGCACTGCTCTGGTTTGCCAGAAGCGGCTTAGTCATGCTGGCCACATGTACACCGGCTCCCTCGGCCAATAAAGCGAGATGAGCACCGCAACCCCAGAGTCGGTCACGACTGGACCTAATGGTCAGGGGTCCCTTTACCTTATCTTCCATGAGGCTTACTCCCAAATAAGTGTTCATGGGATTGTACCCTTAGGCCCCACTCCTATACCCACTTTCCTGGGAGTAAGCCCCACTAACTCACTGAGACGTGCATCAGAGTAGGCATGAATAGGACTGCACTGTTTTTAAATGAGTTGTATGAGTTTTAATTGATTTTTCTGTTGTTTAAACCTAGGGAAAAGCAATAGTTGCAAAGCAATAAGGATATTGTTACATGCCACCCCAGTCTCTGAGTCCAAGGCTTCCAGGCACACTGACCCTGTTTTTCCTTTTGGAAATGAGGCACAGAGGAGACTGTGGTGTCTTTAGGATATATACTTGGTACAGAATCTGGATTTGGGGTGGGGGGAGGAGTGAGTTAGTTTACCACACAGTATTCATGTATCTGCCCATAGGCAAACTCTGTGGCTTTCTGAAAGCTAAGCCAACAATGTCAAGCACCAATTGCCTTAGGACACAACACATCTCATTAGCTGCTGCAGCCTAGAGCTGCATAATAAAATCCATTACTTTTCCCTATACACAATTATGCCTGTCTTCACTGAAACAAGAGCTTGAGACTCTTTAGAGCGAAAGGGGAAAAAACAAAAGGACAGGAAAAAGCTTTTTACCATTTATTTTCAGAGGGTAAACATTTCCTATTCATCTTTGTTTTGTTTTGTATTGTATTGCTTTGCAAAGAGTTACTCAGGAACACATCAGTTCAGAAGGAGTCATTATTCTGTATTTTTCCTCAAGTAAACCATCCTTCTGCAGCCATCAGAAGTGATTTTAAATAGGGCTGTGTACCAAATCCGGATGAATTTCATCTGGATTCATCGGTGGCGAACTAGGATTGAGGCAGCCCCAGATTGCCCTGGGTTGGATCGGGTCCACCTGAAGCAATCTAAGGTTCTCAAAAGCAGCGATCTGGTGGTGGGGGAGACATGCAGGCGGAGTGCATGCATCTTCTCTTTCCCCCCTCCCTCTGGACCACATGTTTAATCAGATTTGGTTCAGGGTTTAATCCCAGGTTGGATTGGAGCTGCTCTGAAGTGCCAGATCAGGCCCTGTGTGCATCCCTATTTGTTAACTGAGTTTTAGAATCAGACTGTGTTTTGTGTGTTGGAATTCCATAGATAGATAGATAGATCTTTCCTGTAGGTGATATGACCATGATGGTCAGTAACAACTGTAAACACTGCACACACTTATTTTTTTATGCTGGAATTCCAAATAGACAAGGAAGGCATTTAAAAAGCAAGCAAAATGAGACATTAATAATCAGAGTGAAATAAATCTCCTATCCCACTGTGTCTTTAAGAAGATGCAGTTGCTACATAGATGTGCATTGTGTTTTTGAAACTGCGTTTCTATCCGACGGAATTGGAAGTTAAATGAATTAAAAGCAAAACAATTCGATTTCATCATCCTAATTATTTGTACTGCTTTTCTAAAATATCTTGTTTCCCAAAAAGTGGTTTATATTAAGGAACGAAAATGGAAAAGATCACCTATAAAGACCCTCACAGCAATAAAAAACACACAAAACGGTTTAAAAAGAGAAGCTCAGGTTTTTCAGGGGGTTGGAACATCTGTCCGATGTGAGGAGAGGTTTCAACATTTTATATAACAATTTATTATGTATATGCCGCCCATCTGACTGGGTTGCCCCAGCCACTCTGGGCAGCTCCCATCAAAAAATAGTAAAACCACAATACAACACCAGACATGAAAAACTTCCCTGAAGTTCTAGTCTTTAATTTTAGGTGGGGGTGGGGGAACCCAGAGAGTAAGGATGAACATGACAAAGGGTTTTTAAAATTATCCCTATTGTGGGGAAAGTGGACAGAGAGATGTTTTTCTCCTCATTAGGCTATACTAGAATCCGGCGTCATTCAGTGAAACGGAATTATGGGAGATTCAGGAAAAACAAAAGCAAGTACTTCACATTGCACTTAGTTCTTTTTCTTCATTTCTTCATTTACCTCACAAATTTATAGACTGCTTCATAGCTTAAAGCTACTGAAGCAAGGTATAAGATAAAAAAAGCTTCAGATGGGTGGGGGTGGGAGCAAATCCATCAAGAAACAGTAACCAGGAATAGTCAGTTTCTCAAAACTGTTAAAAAGACGTGAATCGAAGGAGCCATTCAAACCACTGTTGGTAAAAGGAACTCCACAGATGCAGGGCCTTGGACAACAACAAAGGCCCTATTTCTTGTGCCTGCCAACCTGATTGATCTTACTGGTGGTGGACATACAAGGCGGACCTCCAAAATTGATCATAATAATAGCTGGGCAGGCTAGGAGAACATGCGACTCATAAGTATAGCCTTCGGTGCTCATAGAACTGCATTAGCTTATCCTTTGGACCTACAAAAATTTCATCTCAATCTCCCAGTGGAACTGTATGCTGTTCTGGAGCAAAGAGCTTTTAGAGCTTTTAAAGAGTAATCCCTTTGGACTGTATGGATGAATACGGAACCCTGAAATTAACCTGGAATACCCTTGAAGAATCTAACAAGTACTGTATAAGAACAGCCCTCCTGGATCAGGTCCAAGGCCCATCTAGACCAGCATCCTCTCTCCACAGTGGCAAGCCAGATGCCAGTAGCACAGAGACATACTGTAGCTATCCTAATTGTAGGCACTGATGTCCTTATATTCGTCCAAACCTATTTCAATGGCCATCGGTACATCTTGTGAGAGTGGATTCCACAGTTTAAAGTTTTCATGCAGGCCTAAAACTGTGTAAACTCTGCTGAAGACAGCGGTGTGCTACCAAAGATGTCAGCCAAGTGTACCCACTTCACGGTGACATTTTTGTGTTATTAAACATTTAGGACACTCTTGTACTGATAGTACCTCAGAAGACTTTCTCTTCTGGTAGAAAACAGCTGCTTACATGGCAAAATTTAAATAAATGATACGCCATATTACATTCATAAGCAAAGTGCTAATACCACCCAGGGAAAAGGTGATCAAAACCGGGAACTCTCAAGTATGATTTATTCCATTGTTGTGTGACTTGGACCTGGCTGACCCGGGGTGTTTTGCCACTTGAGGCGAAACCGTCACTACTACCCCGCCATGGGTATGCCATGCCACTGCCATGGCCCCATCACCATGGGCACACCACTGTGGCTGCGCCCCCCACCCAGATGAAGTGAGAACCAATGATAGGCAGAGCCAACTTGTTCTCGCTTTGCCCCCATCCTTCTCCTTCCTGGTGAGTTCTGGAAGGGCAACAAGGACATTGAGAAAGCCGACAGCCAGTGCTACCCGAGGGGCAGCTCAGTCAGCAGAGCACGAGACTCTAAGTCTCAGGGTTGTGGGTTCGAGCCCCATATTGGGAAAAAGATTCCCGAATTGCCTTGGGTTGGACTGGATGAGGCTCGTGGTCCCTTCGACTCTGCGATGCTATGATTCTAAGTAAGGAGGTAGGCAAATGGGGCATGATTGAGGTCAAACGGTTTGGTGGGCCAGTGACCTATTTGTCCTAATGGACCAGCCTTCACTGTTTATTGTGGAGGAAACTAATACAGTATACAGCAGGCAGCAATCTTCAGCATGTTAGAAACACACAAATAATGTCTCTAGTAAAACAGTGGAGGACATGCATTAGGAACTAGCTGTCAATATGGAGTGAGCCTCATGGGCCCTGCAAGCTGGTTCATACATGCAACAGCATCCAGTAGTAACATGCATGCGTGAATGAGACCTCTCACATCAAACACCTGACACAGTTAACCCTATAAAATGACCAGTGAACACTTGAACAAGGCATTGTCTCCAGTCCAGTCTTTATCTGTTTGGGTTGATTTGTTGAATGTCCCCACACAGGCTGGGCAACAAAGTGGCCACAACAAAACTGTTTTCCGATGCTGTGTTTGTTAATTAGAATTGTTCCCGATGTAACTGCAAGTTCCACTCCTGCAAACAAAAAGAGGCAGCAGGGAAGAAAACTTCAAGGTTGCCATGGATACCATACATAATTCAACAGGCAAAAAAATAAAACAAATCCAGTTTAATTCCTTATACTGCTTAACCAAAAAAAAAGGCCAAAAGACCCCAAACCCTTTTCCTTTGTTTTGTTTATTTATTTATTCTAAAAGGTACATTAATGATGGAAGGAACCAATTTTCTGAAGATGTCCTGTGTTGCAGTGACAGAAATAAATCACTGTATTCAAGTTGTGCAGGAAGCCAGGACTCCAGAATTAGTCTCAGGGGCTTAAATTAAGCACTGAGCAAATATTTAAAATGCAAAAGAGCAGATCCTCAGAGATGTGAACCAGCTACAGAAAAGGAAGGGGGAAAAAGGAAGAGGGAAAAGGGTGGATTAAAAGAGGCAGCGCTAGTAGCCAGTGGTAGGTGGGTGGAGTTAATTCAGGACAATTCTTGAACTTTATTAATACAGTTGCAAGGCCCATTGATGCATAGTGGAATATTCTAGTTACAGTTTCCATGTCAGCAGCTCGCAGAGATGACAAGAGTGTTCACCCTACTTGTTCTACGGCAGAGATAGGGAACTTGCCCTGGAATAGCCCCAACCAGCTTGGCCAATGGTCAGGGATTAGAGGTAGTCCAGAAATATTTGGTGAGCCACAGATTCCCCACCCTTGCTCAACAGGCTCATTGTTCCCATTTTTTAGGGCTTTCTTCATAGCCTGTGCACAATAAGTGCACAACCTTCAGGCCTGCTCTCAAGACTGCGCTGCTGCTGCAAGGACGTCGCATCTCTCAGGGCCAGCCCAAGACAAATTGCTGCTTGAGGCAAAGGACAAGATGGCAACCACCATATGGTTCCATACACGGAAGCCAACTGGGCTGGCAGAGGAACCTTATTTTAATACCGACATTGGGTAGTGCCCTCCACTGTACCTTATGGTAGCAGGGTTGTTAGGGAGGTGCAGGATAGGCCATTTGGTGCAAAGGGCCATTGGGGCTGCCCGGCCGTCTCTGCCACCTGGGATGGTCGCCTTACTCTGCCTGTCCCTGACCTCCTGTCTATTCAATACTAGTGTTTCTCTATGTTTACCTGCCCTGCAATATGCTGGCTCTCCCATAAGATATGAGTGTGATATGCTTGGCTGTTACATTTTGCCATCCGCTTTTGTTATTCGCATCACTCTGCCAAACAAACTCGAATATCCCTCTGTAACTTTAATCTCCCTGTCTGCCTTTTTCCATCCTCTTTTTCCACACCTCTAATTCACATTTAGCTGTGTGCATTGCTGTAGCATTCCAGCGTGAAAAGAAATATGCACCTGGACTTAGCAACCCTAAATTGGACTCGGGGAGCTGTTATTGAGCTCAGTTGAAGGGGAAGAAAGCTTTTCCGAAAGTGTCAGAAATTAAGAAGCGATCACGTCCTCTAGCCCTCTCTTTTCCCCCTCATTGACATTGTTTGGGTTGTAGATCACAAGGAGTGCCTCACTGCAGTGATGTATGGGGCTAATCTATCAAGAAAGCACTATCTCTCAGATGATGTATTAGAATAATGCATCATTAAAACACCATTGATGCAGGTATATATTACTCAACCCTACACTGGCTAGCAACAACGTGAGCCTGGGAACCAGGCCAGATGAACCTATTAAATCAAAGCTGGCTGAATCCAAACATAAAATAAAATTAAGAATAAGAATAGCTTGGTCAAGGAACGTGGAGCTGCAGCATAGCAATAGATAGCAAAAAAAAAAAGAGAAGCAGTTTGAATGAAGCAATGGAAAAGGCTTTTTATTTCCAGTGTTTCTCCACTGCAAGAAAAAGGGAAGCATTAAAAAGGATATAAGTCACAATCACAGCCCTGTTCCCCTTTGGCATTTTTTGACTTCAGTGTTTTTGTTAGGAAACTGGAGAATACAATTTCAAGTATGGAACGCTCCAACACTTAGAACTTGTAGATATCTTGGGGCTTTTAATCTTCTTTTTTAATGCCCTTGGACTATTTTTCCAGATTTGGAAATTCAAACAAGTCTAGCCTTCCAATTTAGAGTGACTGGTTTTTATTTTAAAGGAAAAGGCTTGTGAGATTTCATTCTTGCATGTTGTGTGAGTTGCCCACAACCCTACAATATGTAAATACTTACGGGAAGTGGTGGAGGACTGCTCCTTCCCCTCCATCCAAATAAGAGAGATGCAAGATAGGTCCAGGTGAGCATCTTGAAGGTGTTATCACACAGAATTGGCATCACTGGCACTGTATGCAGAAGACTGAGTGAGGTTTACTCAGCCACATTTCCTGAATCCACTGAAAGAGAATATGCTGTGATTTCATAATTAAAGTTTTGCATCCTTTGGGGAGACATAAACAGGATACCAGGCAAGGGCTAGGCAGTAGTTTTGCAAATTTTAAATTATGGAGCTCTCAGACTTGTGTCCCAACATGTCCTCCTGACTCTTTTCTGCTTGCAAGATGCTCTGTAAGCCTTTGAGCTGCACCCTTTCTTATGTGGGGAATGAAGGGAGCTCAGCGAATCAATTGGTGGCAGGCCAAAGAGGGGGAATGCACCCAGCCGCCACCTTATAAGTTGGACCACTATGCCTTCCCTAATTGCTACAATACATTGAAATAAAATCTTCCTCAGGTGCACTCCCCTTGCCCTGAAGATGTGTTTGTGTTTGCTGGTGGGTATAGTGTTCAAAGGAAAAGAGAAAGCATAGGTTCTCGTCATTTTAAAATGACAAGGCCATTGGAAAATGCAATGGAATTAATTGGCAGCAGTTCAGACTGAAGAAAGAACTTCTTCCCCTTTAATTCAGAATGCAAAGCTATCTTTGCATATATTTCTAGATGCTCTTGCCTTTCTTCTCTTTGCTAGAGTGTTGCTGGCATCCGTCTGTCTTGGGAGACAATGGAAGAGTACACCTTCAGGGGTAAATTCAAAAGCTGGGGAGTTACAGCGCCTGCTGTGGCTATAGAGACCGATACAGGAGAGACATGTTTTGTTGCAACTGGGGCAGATGAAGGCGACTGGTTTTGCTGCTCCATGTACACCATGGTGTTTGTTCTCTCTGTGCTCCTCCCACAGAACATTCCTCCTCTGGTCACCATTGTGGATACACAACCTGATTGTTTTAGTGCAATTCATAATTAATATATTGTTGCATGCAACCCCAGTCTCTAAGCGGTGTGAGATTGTAGGGGTTCCAGGCACTTACCTAGTGTTTAGTTTCCTTGGAATGAGGGACAGCAGAGACTGGAGTGTCTTTATGATATATGGTTTATTTACACAATTTATACAACCTTAGCCTATGATGAAGGAGCTCACAGCATTAACACTTAAGAAGGTCTTGCTTCTCCCACAGCCCCAGCCTTGGATTCAAGCAGAAATCAAGGATGTTTCTCCCTCTCATGCTTCTGCCTGCTTCTAGCAATTTCCCCTAATATTTATGTATTTCATAACAATGATACACCACTTGATTGTAAAAAAAAAACCCTCCCCAAAGCAGTTTATAAAAGATAAAGCAAGAAAATCTTTAATAAAATAAATAAAATAATTAATAAATAAAATAAATAAAAGATAAAGCAATAAAATCAACAACAAAAAACCTACAACAGTACTTTAAAACATACAAAAGTAAAAAAAAACTAAAATAGATTAAAATTACCATAACTTTCTAAACATCTGAGTAGGCTTGTCTGAACAAGAATGGTTTTAGCAGGCGCTGAAAACAGTAAAGCGAAGGCACCTGCTTGGTATCAATAGGCAGGGAGCTTCCAAGTGTAGGTGCTGTCACACTAAATGACCGAGTCCTTACAAATACAGAATGGGTATTACATGGTACCTGTGGTAGTGCCAATTCCACTGATCAAGGTGGTCAAGTGAGCACCTGAGGGGTAAGGTGATCTCGTAGGTAAACTGAATCGAAACTCTCTCCTACCATTACGCAGAGGCTAGGTTCCATGCAGTCTTTACTGAGGAATCATTCTGATTTGTTTGTTAGGAGGCCCTAACATGGCAATAAACATTCATCCTGATTTGCTTGTGGATTGTTTATACATCTTCCCATTTCATTCCATACTATTTATTACATTTCCCTATCACTTTCTTAACAGAAAAAGGGAGTTGGTTCAGTGTGGTTTTTTTAAAGTAGATTTGATGCACTAGACTATTGCTAGTTAAAGCTATGGTTTTCCCAGTAGTGATGTATGGAAGTGAGAGCTGGATCATAAAGAAGGCTGATCGCCGAAGAATGGATGCTTTTGAATTATGGTGCTGGAGGAGACTCTTGAGAGTCCCATGGACTGCAAGAAGATCAAACGCATCCATTCTGAAGGAAATCAGCCCTGAGTGGTCACTGGAAGGACAGATCATGAAGCTGAGGTTCCAATACTTTGGCCCCCTCAT